CGGGGGGAAGCTGGGTTTTGGACGAACCTCTAAGGGGGCGGGTGGGGTAACCAGGAGGACAAGTTTTGAGCAAAGTGTGGACACAGTAGGCTGGAGTTTTCCGATGAGAGATGGGGACATGGATGGGTTCCCTTCTGACGCCTTTCTATTGTTTTCCCCTGAGGCAGTGAAGCAGGCTCATCTGCTCAGGGTGAGGGGGGAGCTGAGGATGAGGAGACGCCCTGTGGAGAAATGGGAGAGCGAGGTGACTGGCGATGTGCCCAGGGGGTGAGGGTGTTGCTGGCTACTGTGAGGATCCAGCCAAAGTCATGGACCCTGAATGTTGAATGTCTCCATTAGTCAGGTTCAAGTGGAGACAAGGAGACTGCATGATGGTTTTCCTCCAAAGCCAGTCAGGGCTGGAAGGATCTGGGGCTGAAATGATAGCCCTTCACGTCCAGGTTAGAGGAGGAGAATGGGAAGCTGAGCTGTAGAGAGTCTGGGCCCTGGGGTCTCGGTGGTCTGAAAACAGACAGGGAGCCTGGCTGGCCTGGTTCAGGGGTAAGCATCGGCCTATGGCTCAGGAGGTCATGGTTCAATTCCCGGTCAGGGCACATGCCTGGGTTGTGAGCTCAATCCCTGGTAGGGGTGTGCAGGAGGCAGCCGATCAATGATTCTCTCTCATCATTGATGTTTTTCTCTCTCTCTCCCTCTCCCTTCCTCTCTGAAATCAATAAAAATATATATTAAAAGAAAACAGACAGGGAGAGTGAATGGGGTGCTGGAATGATGGGGGTCTGTGGGGTCAAACAGGGAGAGTGAGTGGGGTGCTGGAATGATTGGGGTCTGAGAGAGTAGGGTTTGGATTTAAGGAGTTTGGGTAGAGCAGCCCTGGGTGGTGACCAGGTCCAGGGTGTGGCCCTGGGAAGGCATTTGTGCAGCACAGTGGACAAGGTACTGGAGAGAAGTACAGAACTCAGAGGCCAGAGCATAGGATGCTCACCTGCATGGACACACGGTCCGAGGAAGAGGCCTGGGCAGGAAGGGATACTGTGAGCCCCTTGGCAGGAGGGCAGAAAAAATTAAAGATGGGGTGCCAGGGGCAACTGTGGGCTCCAGAGCAGTCCTAACTGCTACTCCCAGCCTCCCCACTCACCCCTCCCCTCTCATCCCCCTCACCTTTCCTCCCTCTGTTCTCTCTCCTCAGATCGAAACATCCCAGTTAGAGCCTGAGATTGCCCAGGCCACCAGCAGCCGGACAGTGGTGTACAACAAGGGGCTGTGAGTGGTGGCCGGCTGGCCTGGGGATGCAGCCTGGTCCAGCCTGGGGAGCTGGGGGCGGGGAGGAGGTCTCGTGAGTAGCGCCTGCAGGGAGGGCAAGCTGGCCCCACCAGTCCTGGGCCACCTGGGGGCGGGGGGGTCTCCATCCACAGTGGTAGGGAGACTAATCTATTCACCTGTTAACATAAGGGAGAGGAATTCTGACACATTTCCTATACAAATAATCAAGTGCATTTCTGGGCCTTACGTGGGGTTGCCAAAACTCTACTCAGCACAATTATGTGTGAAGCTGAAAAATTGTAGAGTGCCCACAGGGTAGAATTAGGATCCTTTTATACTTTTTATTTTTATTTTTATTTTTTTATCAGAATCAAGCCTTGGTTGCAGCTGCCCAGGTGGTGGTCTGGTGGTGGGAGTAGGGGTAGGCCTGCGGCGAGCTGGCTGGCTTGGTGGTGGGGCTGGTAGATTTAAGATATTGCTGTGGCCAAGACCGACGTCTCCCTGGGTGTTCAGGGGTAGGGAAGGGAGGGGAGGTAGTCTACACCTCGTCGGATGAGCCAGCTATGATTAAGGTCCTCAGGAGGTGGCCCAGGAAATCAAGGAGCACTGGAAGTCTCTGGAAGGTCCCATGGGCAGCTGGCTCTGAGTGTGGCCGGCCTTCAAGATCCAGGCCACACCTGCAGAACCGATTCCTCTACACGAAGCCCAGTGACACACGAGCTGGCATCACCCTTCATGGAGCCCTGATATATGGGAGGCCCCTGAGATGACCCCAGCTCCAGGCAGGAAGCCCCAAGAAGGAATGATGTTGGGCAGGAGCCGGGGGCATGCAGCCCGGCCTTTGCAGGAAGATCTTCCTCCCTGGCACCAGGCTGGAACTGGGCATTAGGGCCGAGTGTGGGGCTGGAGCCAGGCTGACGGCCACTGAGCAGGAGGGCCTGTGCCTGAGAGTACAAAGGCCAGATCTCTAGGCACCTATCGGAGAGGAAGCATCAACCTGGGAATCAAAGCAGGTGCTGGCTCTGGCCGGCGGCGTAACCTTGGACAAGCCCACTTCCTTCTCTGAGCCTCCACCCCCATGTCTGGAACCCGAGGACTGGATCAAGGGATTCCCGCCTGCTCCTCCAGCTAGATCCCGTCTTTGCCTGTCCCGCTCAGATGCTGGTCATCCCAACACGGACACTGGACTGGGAAAGGGACGGGTCCCTTTGGGCACGGCCAGCAGTTGGCTTCAGGACCCGGACTCTGCTCTTGTGTATGTGACCCCACCTCCTGGGAGCACTGGACCTTTGCCAAACACTTTACAGCTGTGAAGGAGGAGGTAGTATGGATGCCTGGGCTGGAGTGGGAGCCACACCCACATGCCGCCTCTCACCCTGCACTGGCCTCTGAAGCCCCTGGCTGCTAGCTGCTGGCTGCCGGCTGCTGCCTCCCTTCCAGTTCGGGCCAGGAAAGGGGAGAGCTCTGCAGAGGAAATCAGGGCCTGGTTGGGGTGAACAGGGTAATCTCTCATCTGAAAGGCCCCAAAAGAGAACGCATGGGTCTCAAGGTACCTCTCACCTGATCCCAACTGGAATGAGCCTTCAACATGCAGCCTCAGGGCCTCCCCTCCTCTGGTGCCTGACTCCACCTGGGGAGACATGGCTGGAGGTGGACAGGTACGTGCAAGGAAAGGCAGTGCCGGGCAGTGGAGGCCTGGCCACAGGCTCTGCTCCCCTTGGGGCGGGGGGAGTTGTGGCAAGGTGGGTCTTCTACAGGCATTGGCCCCAGACATCCCACCAGAAGCCCCTGCTGCCCTCACCTCCCAGCCGGGCCCTGCAGCCTCCCAGCCAGCTCTGCAGGGTGCAGCCCTGAGGGCCCCCACTCTCCCAAGGAGCAGCCCACCCACTGCCCGTCAGGAAGGGGAGAGGCAGCGACACGCATGGAAGACAGAGCAGCAGAGGGAAGGGCTGCCTCGGTGTTGGAGGGACAGGTATTTTTGCGTTACTCCCGCCATAATGTGAACGTGCCAGCGACTGGGGCCTGGGCACGTCTGGGGCCTCTTTTGCAAACTCACCCCACCTCACCTCTTATTGGGTCGTTTTTTTAAAATATATATTTTTAATTAATTTCAGAGAGGAAGGAAGAGGGAGAGAGAGATAGAAATATCAATGATGAGAGAGAATCATTGATTGGCTGCCTCCTGCATGCCCCCCACTGGGGATTGAGCCCACAACCTGGGCATGTGCCCTTGACCGGAATCGAACCTGGGACCCTTCAGTCAGCAGGCCGATGCTCTATCCATGGAGCCAAACCGGCCAGGGCTTATTGGGTCTTATTCTTGTGCACTTTACCTTGGGACCAAAACTGCTCCCCCCAGCTCTTTACCCCGCTACCCCCTCCAGAGGCCTGGCAGAGATGGGATCTCTCCATCTCCCCTCTGGGCTGGCTGCCCCGGCCCAGCCCTGTGGCCCCTGCATCTCATAACCTATTTACTGTATCTCCCAGATGATTTCCGGTGATGCTCCCAAATGCAGTGTCAGGTGACTTCAGGGGGCTCCTCCTGGTAGGGGTGGTGGCAGCGAAGGATCCTTATAGCTCAGGGTGACGGTGTCAGAGATTCAGCGAGCCGTGCTGCTAGGCCCTGGTCTGGCTGCAGAACACACCACGAGGGGAAACTTTCAGTTCACATCCAGCCCCTCTCAGCTGAGGCCAGAGGAAGGGAGGCCTCATGGGAAGATGGTTTCATGTCTGGGGAGCAGGCTGAGTCAGGGCAGGGCTGGCCCAGCGGTGCCAGAATCCAGGCCATACCTGCAGCCGATTCTCCAGCTCTGGTGTATCTGCCTGGCCCTCCTCTGGTCACTTCAAACATTCCTCAAGGCTTGGGATGCCCCTCTCCCGTTTCCAGAGAACTGTCCGCATGTGCAGGGACCAAAAGCCCAAGATGTCAGGATGGCTGGCCAGCATCCCGTTCCACCTCCTGATTAGGGAGGAGGTGGGGAGGGGGGGGGCTGTTTCTTATCCTGGGCCTCTACCCTGGCAGAAGGGTGGGGTTCTGAGAGGAAACAGGCCCACGGACAGAAGCAAGGTGGTTTCCCAGCCCTGGGCCTCGGTCATACCCAGGTTACTTTGCAGTGTCTTTTTAACCTTCTCAGAAAATTTCTCAATCTCTGTGATTTGTGTACTACTAATGAACTGTGGGCAATAAATGATGGATTTAAAGCATCAAGGCTTGGCTTTGTGAATTATGGGTGGAGAGGTGGGAGCAGGGAAACACAGTGGGAACAAGCCAATGGCTAGGCCAGGATTTTATAGGAAGGCCCCTGAGGAAGACGTGGACCCAGGCTCAGGAGGGGTCAGAGGGAAGGGTAGAGGGAAGGACAGAAGAGCGTGTGAGGGCAGGAAGCTGGACAACGGGGGTGAATTGAAACTCTGCAGAAGGAACCCCCTTTTGCAGAGCGGTTGCTGGGCACTTACTAAGGGCCCCACTGCAAGGAACTAGAGTAGAAAAGGGATTTCGGTAGATTCTCCTACTGTTTATATCAAGGGGACTAGAAGGGAGAGTGGTGGTGGTGGTGGGCGGGGGGGTCATTCTGCACTGCCTGGGGGCCAAGAGAGGCTACAAAGGATGGAAAGGTTTAAGCCAAGTGGAAAGGTACCTGATGTCCACAGTGTGTCCAGCACCAGCCCTGGGAACTCTGCCCCTTCTAACTCCTCCACAGTCCCTCAGGGCCAGGCCTTGGCTGCCTCCTGACAGCTCTGGGACCTCCAAGCATCTTCCACTCCTGCAGGGTGACCATGCAGTGGAGGTGGGGTTTATGGTTGGGGTCTGGCCAGCCCGGATCCCGGCCCCAGCTTGGCCCCGGCATCACTCATTCACCCATTCCTTGGGTCAGATGTGTGTGGAGCATATTCTCTCTTAGAGCCGTGGTGTCCTTAGCGATAAAATGCCAGGAACTGCATTGTTCGCTGGACTGGTGGACAGAGGTTAGAGGGACTAGGTGAGGAACTCACCCGGACTCTCCTCTCACCTCCCCAGTGTCAGGGGTGCTGGGCCTCCCTAGGAGGGTGGAGGAGGGAAAGGGATGGGGGAAGGGTCTGATCCAAAGTGATACTCCTGGGTCAGGGGGCTTCTGGTCTCTGGGGAATTTCTTTGCTAAGAGCCCCACTGGCCACAACCCCCATCCGGGTGTCGGAAATCCTTGACTCTCGGGACAGACACAAATCCCTCCTGGGAGCTGTTTGTTGTTTTTAGCTGGTCTGGGGTCTCAGCTCCTGCCCTGCCCAGCGATCATTAACACTCCAGGAATGTGGCTTCCACCTGCTGGCCCCTGGGGCCTCCCTCCTCCCACTCAGGCCGTGGTTAGACAGAGAGTCCGAATGCTGGGGATGAGGGCAGTGATGAGTGACCCTTTCCCAAGGCGCTGGGGAGCCTCGCCTTAATTTCAGAATGCAGCTTCCCCCAGTCCCCAGAGCTGCTGCCGCTCCTGCCATCTCACCCATCCCCATGTCACTGGCTAGCCTGCCAAACAGGAACCTCTCAGCCACTCCCCACAAGGCCCCCCTTCCCTCCCCCCTCCCGCCCCACATGCCCATGCTTCCAGGTGACTCTCTGGGTTGTAGCTGAGAAGTGTTCCCTCTCCATGCCCCACTCTGAGGTGCACTAGCTGCTGGCAGCCTTGTCTAAGATCTGAGTCTGGCTCCTTCCCCACAAGGAGCAAGAATCTGGGCTCCCCCCACCCCCAGTTCCCTGGGCCTTATGGAAGGATGGAGAGAAGGAAGGGGAAAAGAGGAAAGAGAAGGTGAACAAATGGGCAAACAGGCATAGACAGACGACACCTCCTTGAAGAGCCCATGCAATTCAGCGAGGCAGTGAGGGAAGGGGGCGGACCCCTGCCACCTCAGCTGGTTCTCCTCTGCCCAGGTGAGCCTGGCAGAGGGAGGGACAGTAAGCAGGGCCCTCGCTCCGTCCAGGGTTGAGCTGCCAGAAGCTCAGTTGTTAGAGAACAGGGGGCAAGACGCTGGAGGTGGAAGAGGGCCAGCTGCTGCAGGGCCAAGGACAGCTGGGAGCCATCAGAGGCTTTCAGTGGGGAAGTGGATTCATCTGGCAACAGAGTGGAGTGGAGCGTGGACTCTGGCAAGACTGCTGGGGAGCCCAGGGAAGAGGCCATGGTGGCAGCCCAGGTGAGGGGACATGGGGGCTGGGCCAGGTCATGGGATGGGGATGGAGAGAAGTGAAGACACCACCACTGCTCAGCTCTTGGTGATTGGCTGTGGGGAAGAGGAGGAGTCAAAGATGGCCCCAAGTTCCCCGCTCAGGCAGCTGAGGACGTGGATAGTGGTGCCATTTCTTGGTGCTAAGGAACAGAGAGGGAAGAACAAATGTGCAGAGGAGGTAATGCACTCTGTTTTACAAGTTAATAGAGGTTCCTGCAAGATAACCAAGTTGAGATATTGAGACAATGAATGGGTGCTTGTCTGGGACTCAGGAGGCAGTTCGAGATTGGATATGCAGACTGGCATGTTATGTATTTATTGACAACACCTGGAGCTGAACGGACCGCGCAACCACCCAGGGTAGTATGTGAGGTGAGAAGAGGAAGATCTGGGATGTTACCTTGAGGAGTCCCTATCTCCGAGGCCTGGACAGAGAGACAGGAGGTTGCTAAGAAGTGCAGCCCCAAGAAAAGTGTTAATGGCTGAATCCTGTCACCCCAAATTCATATGTTGAAATCTTAATTCCCCAGAATGTGACTGTATTGGAGGTAGGATCTTTAAAGAGGTAATTAAGGTAAAATGAGGTCATTAGGGTGGGTCCTAATCCAATATGACCGGTGTCCTTATAAGAAGAAGGAATTTAGCCCTAGCTGGTTTGGCTCAGTGAATAGACTGTTGGCCTGCGGACAGAAAGTCCAAGATTCAATTCCAGCCAAGGGCACATGCTCGATCCCCAGTAGGGGACATGCAGGAGGCAGCTCATCAATGATTCTCTCATCATTGATGTTTCTATCTGTCTATCCTTCTCCCTTCCTCTCTAAAAATCAATAAAAATATTTTTTTTTAAAAAAAAGAAGAAATTGAGACACAGACAAGTATTGAGGGAGAATTCTATGTGAACAGGAAGATAGCCATCTGCAAGCTAAGGAGAGAGGCCTCAGCAAAAACCAACCATGCTGGCACTTTGACTGTGGGCTTCCAGCCTCCAGAACCGTGAGAAGAGGAGTTGTTTAAGCCACCCCACCTGTGGTGCTTGTCATGGCAGCCCTAGCAAACGAAACAAGAGGTAGGAGGAAGATAAGGAGAGCATGGTATCCCAGAGGACAAGGGATGAGCATCCTTCAAGTAGGAGAAGCTGTCCACATACTTAGTCGGTGCTGAGAGTTTAAGGAAGATAAAGACCAAGGACCTGCAGAGAAGGATCTCAGTGGAGTGCAGTGAGGGCAAAAGTCAGATCTTCCTGGTTGAGAAGTTAGCAGGACGCCCACTGAGTGCCTGTTAGGAAATTCTTGTGAGGTGGGCAGAGAGACATAATGGCTGCAGCATGACATGGGGCTAAGGGAGGGCTTTAGACGGGAGACTCTCAGACCTGTGGAAACTCTAATGGGTGAGAGTGGAAGAGACTGTAAAGGCAGAGAAGAAAAAGAGCCACCCAGGAGTGAGGTCCTCCAGGGTGCGGGGAGGATCCTCCTTGAGGAGAGAGGAGTCTGGGTGGTAACAGGAGGCAGGTGGAGAGGATGGGTTGGAAGCAGGCGGTGTGGGTGTGAGTGCGGGAAGTTGCAGGGTGAGAGGCTAGCTTCCCTGGACCCTCCAGATCAGCTCTCCATCCCAAAGGCTGGCTCAAATGGACTTGATGTCTGGCTCCCACCACTGGGAATCACCACTAGGAAACTGGTGATTGGAGGAGAGTGAGACTGGGGGATTTATCTCCTTACCCCCCCTCCCCCCCATCTCCACTGCAGTCTGCGGGCCTCCTGCCACTGAAGGCTGCAGCCCCAGCTGGGGCCCTCTCCGCCCAGCTGTCCTCTCAGGTTCTGGTAAGTGCTCCTGCCTCTTACCAGGGCTGTGTGGGCTCCCCATTGTTACTGGCCTTGGGACACTGCAACATCTCTGCTGGCTTCCCAAAATTCATTATTCAACTCTCCTCTAAGTGCCCCACTTGAAGGGGCCGTCTCTTCCTGCAGGCCCCTGACTGATATGAAGGGGTTCTCTTCCTCTGCTGCCTTTTTCTCTCTGAAGATGCAAATCAAGTCCTCTGCTGAGGGTGAGGGAGAGGAGGTAGGAGGAGAAGGATGACCGTTTGAGACTTCCCCTATGGAGAATGAGAGAGGACTTATCAACAGGGGTGAGCCTCAGCTGAGGCTGGGATCTCGACCTCCAGGGGGGGCCATCGAGCAAGCTTGCCTGGTGTCCTTACAGACTGAGCTGCAAGGGCAGACAAGGAAACAGGTTCAAGCAAGTTTGGGATTTTGCCAGGCGGGTACAACTAAGGAACAGTGGGACAGAGGGTGTTGGAGAGAGAATAGAGGAGCCTGTGGCAGGGGAATTTCATGAGGTCAAAGCGCGGAGGAGGAGGAAAACTGAGTGAGCGGGAAGAACATGGGGTCTGGTAGGAAAGGACAGCTGAATGTGGGATTTGAGAGCAGCTACAATTCTGGGTTCTGATAAGGCCTGAGAGTGGGTGGTGATGAGGTGAGAGGGAATGAGAGGCTGGGGTGCTGGGTGGAGGTCTTGGGGAGACAGGAAGACCATAAGCTGGTGGCCACAGTCTTTGACAAATGAGGGGGTACAGCTGGGACACGCAGCCACACACTGCCCACGTGCAGAGCCGACCGCCCCCACACACCCACACAGTCACACTCATGCACACACGCCCACAGCCCTCCCAGACCAGACAGACACCCTCACATGCACTCACCCTCACACACACCCCAGACAGCAGATGGGGCGCTCGGGTAATTGGTTAAACCTGTTCTGATGTCTGGCTCCGAATTGGCAGCACCCGTCTGACAGGAAAGCTGGCTGGGCCTGCTCTGCTCAGCCTGCTGGCCTCCCTTCCCCTCCCCCTGCATGGCTGCCCTGGAGCTCGGGCTCTGGGAGAGGCCTGTGGGCCCAGCCTGGCTCCCTCCTGGCCAGAACCCCGGTCTCGAGGCGAGAGTTCCACAAAGCCCCACGGGAAGCAATCACAGCCCTGGTGAGGAGGAGTTGGTGTAAGCCAAGCGCAGAGATGCTAAGAGCACGAGCCATGCGGCTGTGGAGGCCCGAGGGACCAATCCCGGAAAGTTTCGAGGACAAGAGGATGTGTAAAGACCCTTCCCTGGTTGTGAGGCCCAGGGCTTGGGCCACAAGAGTTACGAACAGCTCCCCGGTGTTGGTATTCCCTCCTCTTCAGTGCATGCAACGTGGGTCCTCACAGGAGCTCATCACACCTCAGCCCACTGGACTCTGCAGGCCCGGAGGCCAGCACCACTGACGGCTATGGCCCAGCAGGTTGCTTCAGGGGAGGTCTGACCCAGCAGCTCCTGTCCACCACCCTCACCCCTGCAGGCCCTGGTCTCCAGGGGGAGGAGTGGTCGGGGAGGGAAGGGAGCATCATTCCGAGGCTTCTGCTCCCCTTCCTGGCTGCATCTGTGTGTCTTTGAGAGAGACTTTGGTTTGTTCCCTGGAGAGGGCCCAAAAACTCCCAAATTAGCAAACCTGGCAAGCCCACAGCTCAGAAAATAGTTCATCCTGATTCCATGTTTTTCAGGCTCACAGAAGCCTTTATTAATGAAGTCACAACACCAATATTTACCGTCTGTGGGGAGAGGCACAACACGGGGGATGGATGGGAGTGCTCGGGGACTCCCGCCCCACCCCCCACAGGCCTGGCCTAGGAAGATTGGCAGGTTTCCTTGGGTCCTTTCCAGCTCTTTATCGGGATGACAGGGGGTGCTCTGCTGTGATTTCCCTGCACCCTTTCCCTACCAAGTGAGAGAGAATCTTGAGTGGTACGGCTCACCCATTCCTCTGCCCCCACCCCCCCATTACTCATGCCAAAGGGATGTCTCCTCTTCTCACCCTCATCCAACCTGTGCACACAAGCTTCCCAGAGGTCATCCCACCTGCCTGATAGCGAAAGAGTCCACCTGAGGTTTAACCGGGTCTTATGCAGGATGTGAGGGACGCATTTTCCTGGTTGATGCGGGGAGGGGTGTTGGGATGGGACTTAACCCTTTGGTGTCTAGTCCCGAGTGAGATGCTCATAGTCCCAGCACAAGGACCTTCTGTGTTTGGATCCCTGGGTGTGCCCCCAGCAACAAGGCTGGGCCTTGGACATCTTTCCAATGACTTTAACATTGACCAAGCCACCAGGACATTCCAGGCACCAAGAACTATGTAAGTAAAGGCACGGCAGAACCCACAGCTCACTGAGGGACAGGGATGACATGGGTGAGACTGAAGCAGAAGGTACCAGGAGCGATGTAGGAGAGGTCAGGTGGGGAAGAAGTTTAGGGAGAGTTGGGGACTTAGGAAGGGGGAGACAGGATCCTATTTGGGCTGAGAAAGAGAAGCCTGGCCGTAGCATGGAGGGCCTCCTTTGAAGTGGGCCTCATCCTTGACATCCACACAAACCTCATTATTCCTACCGTTCCTCCCCTCCCCTCCCAACACCCCAGGAGCCTTGTACACTGTTTCCCAAGAGACAAAACCTTGGCCAATTGCCAAGGTGGGCGATCCTGCAGAAAGGGTGGAGAGATGCGCTGGGTTTGAGGTGCCGAGGGGCAGGGAGTACACCAAACGGCTGGTGGCTAGCTCAGGGGGCCTGCAGCTCAGTACAGGTCAGCTGGAGGCGTGAACCAGGGAGCCAAAGACAAGTCCTGGCAGTTGATGCGAAGCCCCAAGCCAAAGGCACAGGACTGACCCTGGGGTGGGCAGAGGTGACGAGGCAAGGAAGGACTTGGAGAGGCCAAAGAAGGTGTCAGGGGTACCCAGATGCAGGCAGGGAGGGGCAAGGGAGTCTGGAGGAATGGCCAGAAGACAGGGAGGTGAAGCCAGATGAGAGGCAGTTAAGTTTGGCCACAAGTGGGTGGCAGCAATTGACTGCCATCAGCATCAGCAGAGGGTTGGGGACCACTTGGATGTCATCAGGGAAAGGCTGTTAGGAATATGGGTTTTGCTTTTTGTGGAATGAAAGAAACCTTGGTGTGTGAAAAGCAGGAAAGACAAGTGGACATATTGAAGGGCAGGTGGACTGAAGAGCTTGGCATGCCCTGCTTTGGCGTTCTCTCCCAGGCTGGGAGGCCCTGCGTCCTTGGGCACTTGTTGCAGGCCCACACTCAAGTCCTTTCTCTGAAACTTTAATTTGCACAAGGAGGTTCTCTGGGGACAGGTTAGCATCCTGGTCAGGCCAGGATGTGGGGCTGGGATTGTCAGCCTCTGTGAAGGGTGCCTCCTCCACCCAATCCCCAGTACTCCTATTCCCCTCTGGTTTCTCCTCAAAGGAAGAGTCTCTAAACATGGGAAGTACGCACAGTCTCTGTCTCCCCTGACCCACCTGGACCTGATGCTCATCGCTCAACACGATTGGAGACCTGAGCATAGCCTCCCTCATGTACAGGGTCGTCCTTCCCTATGTCTAGCCTCAGTTTCTCTTGTTGTGGAGTTGGAGCTAGAGGCCAGGTCGATGACCAACAAAGGACAGGAGTTCATAAATTGAGTCTCTAAGGCCCCACTCCAGGCTCCCAGGCCCTGAACAAGATTGCTCTGCCAGTGCCCAGTGGCCCAGAAACCAAAGCCACCACCCCCAGCTCACGGGCTCTGGGGTTGGAGCTGGATGCCCACGTCATTAAGAGAGAGACTTTTATTGTTCCCATAGGGAAGGGAAACACAGGGGAATCACTAAGAACTAGAGTGGGTGCCTGGAAAATAAATTAAAACAGAAATGCATCAAAAGGAAAAGAGACATGGAGAATGGCTGGGAGGCAGCAGTGGCTGTGGGCCTGCCCAGGCAGGCAGGCAGGCAGGCTCTCCGAGGAGAAGGTTGAGCAGTCCCAGGCCTCAGCCAGCCCATTTCTTGTCCCTCCGTCGATGTTGCCCCAGGCTCCAAGCCCTATGGGGCTGTGACTTGAGGCTTCCCCGCAGCTGGGCCGGGGAGTGGCCAGAGTCCAGTTGGGCCCGCCGAGGGCCCTGGCAGCACTCTGCTCTCCTGGGTTTGCGGCTGGCTGCCCACCCTAGTCATTGGAGGTGACATCGATGTCCTCCCCGTTGGCCTGCTTGGTGGCGATGCGCCACCGGTTGATGTGGTGGGAGCCCTTCTTCTTCTGCTCGGACTCGGGTCCCTCCTCCTCCAGCTTTTGCCGCTTGTACTTTGTCCTCCGGTTCTGGAACCACACCTTCACCTGGGCCAGGGAGGGAGGGGCACAGGTGAGAAACAGCCGCCAGGACCTCAGCACTCAGAATGAGCTGGGAGCCAATGGGGAAACCGAGGCCAGAGTCCTTTTCTCTGGCCAGCTGCCACCTTGGGTTTGGAGAGGACGCAGTGGGCAGAAAGGGGCGATTTTCCTGTCCCTCTCGACAGAGGGACAGGACGGGTGGTGGAGCTGCCGAGCATCCTGTAGCCACAGCACACAGAGGGGGAGGCCCAGGCTCCGGAGCCCAACAGACCTGGGTCTCTATGGTTCCTAGAGAAGAGATAACAATCACTCCTCCACAGGGTTGATGGGAACATAAATGAGAGGACATACGAAGCCATCGCATGCTCCGTCTGTCCGCTTCTCTGGACCATGCAGCTTTTCACTTGGCCTTGCGCAGCCAGTGGACCGGGTCAGCCTGAGTCAGTGACAGGAGCCTCTGCCGAGTTCCTTCCCTCTCTGGGCTCAATTCCCTCATCTATAGGAGAAAGGCATCCTGGGGCCCTTGGGGCTCCAGGGCACCTCCTGGGCTTTTGCTCCAGAGCATCTCAGGGAAGGTGATGCAGAGTGGCCAGGGCTACAAGGCATGGATGCTTTCCTGGAAATGCCAGCACACTCTAAAGCAAGCAGTGCCAACTGCAGCTAGGGCGATCCATGGTGCCAGTGTGGATGGTGAGTGGTAAGCCGTATGTGTGGAGTGATGGCGAGCACCTTGATTTTGGCAGCAGCAGTGGCTGCTAAGGGGGGATCCTTGAGTCCTGGGCAGGGTCAAGGGCAGTCCTCAGAAAGACTACCCAGTTCCAGCCCCTACTCCCCGAGGATGGGTGACAGTCACCGGCCTTTGCCATAAAGCCAGGCGATGGCAGTCAAAATCAGGCCTGGCATCCAGGCCCAGTTGGCAGTTTCCTGCCCAGGATGCCCCACCCTCACAATGCCCAGGCAGTCCCCTCTGTCCCTTCCATGGAGCCCACCTAACCCAGAGCTGCCCCTACCCCCGCCCCCAACCAGGCTTTCCACAGCTCTATCTGCCCTGCCCTTGATTTTAGAGCAATAGGCATAGGGTGGGGACACCAGTGCTCAGTGCTACACAGAGCAACCAGCCAAGGACAGGAAGAGATGAGGGGCCTGGCTTCAGGCAATAAAAGGAGGAGAGGGCCCTCTTCCCCCATGTCCAGGGCAGGGTTCAAACCCCTCACCTGTGTGTCTCGCCTCAGGTACATGGGGAGGATGGCAGATGCTCTAAGCCCAGGGCTTCTGGATTCTATGCCCACCTTTCCTTGGGCACAGGGCTATGGGGCCCTGGGTGGTTCTCAGCATAACCATTTGGCAGCCAGCCTGGCCCCTCCCCCCCCCATCCACCCTGGAGCCTGCTGTGACTGTGCCATCCAGTAGGTGGGTGAGCTTGCCCTGCTTCCCATGCAAGGCATGTACATGAGTCACGTCTGGATGCTGGCCTGGGTAGCATTCCTAAGAGCCCAAGGAGCTGAATGAGGGTTAGGCATGGCTAGCCTGCTGGGGTGATTCAGGGCCGCACTGGACTGCACCAGGGACAGAGGCGCCCCTTTCTGCACCTTCTCCCTCCCACACACGCCCATCTCTCCTTCCAGGAAGGAGACACAGCTATAGTGGAATGGACCCAACCTGCTACCCTTGCCTAGAATCACTGACCCAAAGAAGGAAAGTTTCAATGGTGGAACCTCCTGGCAGACCCAAATAAAAGTTGATTCTGAATATTTTCTTCACGAAAACAACCAGTGTCAAGGAGTCAGCTGTCTAGAAACAGGGCTGCAAACCCTCTCCCTGGGCAGCCTGGCTATCTTCTGGAGAACAGCCTTGGGCTGAATGTCCAGATGCTGTTTACAAAGACTGAACTAACAGGGGGATGCTTATGATGGAGTAATATTAGTAAAAATGGCAGGATGCACAGTTTGGGCACAGTGTGAACACAACCATGGAAAAACAAAATCTATGCATGGGGGGAAAAGACTAGAAGGAAATGTACCCAAGGTATGGGTGACTTTTCTTTCTTTTCTCCACTTTTCTGATTTTTTTAAATGCATCATTGATAACAATTAATAGTTACTTTTTACTTGGAAAAGAAAAGAAACTGGACTCTGAGTGTAGTGGAAAATAAGAGTGACACTCATGACATCTCCAACCCAGCCTCACCCCGAGCCCCTTCTCTAGAGGAGAGAGGACCTGGAAAGGAACCAGGTCACAGAGTATGGCTACCAGCTCCGTGGGAGCCAGCCTTAGGAGGCCATGCTTCTTCTGTACCTGTTCCCACCCCAATATCCACACACCTCTCTCTAAGCTCCAAAGGCACAGCTGAGCTGTTGGCTGGAGGAAGCCCTCACCCATCTCTGACCCCTTGGGGTTGGGGAGAGGTTCCTTATGGTCTCCCAAGTCCCTACCTCATTAAACATTTCTCAGTTTTTCAGATAAGGCAGACCCTTTCAAGAGCCTCTGCTTTTCCCTGAGTTACCCAACCTGAAATGCTCTTAGCCTTCAAAACCCTGCTCAGGTGTCCTGACTTTGGCCCTGCCCCACCACCCATCTGTACTTCTTTAGTACTTTTCTCTGTCTCGGGAACAGTGACCCCAGCAGTGCACTGATTTATTTGCTCGAACCTGTCTCCTCACCGGACTATGGGAACCTGGAGAACCAAAGCAGTGAGTTAGTCCGCTTTGGAGTCCTAGTGGACAGGTTCCAGGTCTGTTCAGCCAGCTGGACAGAGAGATGAGGTGACCCAGCCCTATGCTCTGGGCCAAACCTGGAAAACAGGAGAGAATCAATGGCAGAGGGATTGAGACCTAATAAAAAAGGGGGGGGGGGGTTTGGAAAGTGCTAATGGCTGAAGAAATGGATTCTCTTTTGGCTTAGTTCAGTGGACACTTCTACAATACAGTCAATTCTTAATTCTCCATGTTGTGGACTGTATTAACCACTTGAAGGGGGAACCTGGGGGAGGGAGACATTGTTGGTGGTAACAAGGGTCAGCTTGAGTCAGACAGGATGAAGAAGGTGAAACTGCCCAGCCGGTGTGGCTCAGTGGTTGAGCGTCAACCCATGAACCAGGAGTTCACAGGTTCCGTTACCAGTCAGGGCACATGCTGGGGTTGTGGGCTTGATCCCCAGTACGCAGAGTGCAGGAGGCAGTGGATCAATAATTCTCATCATTGATGTTTCTCTCTCCCTCCCTCCTTCTTTCTGAAATCAATTAAAAAACATTAAAATTAATTAATTAAATAAAAAGAAGGTGAAACTGCTGTGGATGAATGAATGAATCAATGAATGAATCAATGCATTAGTGGATTGATCAATTTATACTTTAATGAATAAAGGCATGCATGTATTAATGTATGATTAAATAGGCAAATGAACTAACAAACAAGGAAACTACAGCTCCAGCCAATATTTCAGACTTAACTTTGAAATATTCTGCTGTTTGAATGAACCAGCTCTGGATCCCTTCTTTTCCACCCTCCCCAACCTTAGCTCATCCCAAATGGAAGGGTCTGTGGCTTCTGGCCCCTGCCTACTTTCAGGGGAATACCTGTCTTCTCCTCAAGGAGTTAAAATACTCGTATTCAGTATTATTTGAGTTTTGTAACTCTGACACAAAAAGTTCCTCCTTATGTCCTATTCTCTTGTGCTTTAACTTAAGCCTGTCCTATTCTGTCATCTCAGACACAGAAACCCTCAGACTAGATGGAGGCTTGGAGACACAAATCAAGCCACCCCTCAGCCTGCTCTCCTCCCTGCTCTCTCGCCTTGAGGGACAGGCACAGGATGAGGACTCCATTTCCCATCATGTGATCATGTGAGCTGCTCCCACTCTGAAGGTCAAGCCCAATGCCATGCTAAGCTCAACTCTCACCCCATAAAACTGAGATCACTTTAGACCTCACATCAACCATAGCCACAACTCTTCCTGAGCCTTCTTTCTCCTCTCTTAGACCCGTGGTCGGCAAACTGCGGCTCGCGAGCCACATGCGGCTTTTTGGCCCCTGGAGTGTGGCTCTTCCTAAGCCTTAGGAGTACCCTAATTAAGTTAATAACAATGTACCTACCTATATAGTTTAAATTTTAAAAATTTGGCTCTCAAAAGAAATTTCAATCGTTGTACTGTTGATATTTGGCTCTGTTGACTAATGAGTTTGCCGACCACTGTCTTAGACCATCCTGGATGCTTGCCCTTACCCTCAGGTGAATCACCCATGTGGGTCTCCCTGACCTCCCTCAGCCCATACCCATACCCATACCTATGACTTTAAGGGGACTCCAGTTGCCCATCCTATGCATGTCCCACAAGGGTGCGCATTTTGTTTTAAGTCCCACCACTAAATGAGGAATCTCCAAGGCCAAGGAACACGTTTCTGCACCATTACCCCTCACAGTTCAGCCAAACTTAAAGCCAGGAAGGGTCAAGAAACACCTGCTGAACTATTCAGAGCAAGAGTGGCAGCTGGAAACAATGACCAATCAGCTTGGAGCAACCAAATGCATCTCTTACTCCTAAAACTAATGTGCCCTCCTCACACACACACACCAAAGCACACAAGCTGCACTCCATGACGGCTTGCTGGCATCTGGTGTGCACATATGAAATATCACCTGACCTTTGAGCACCAATAGCACTAAGCCTACATGTGCCCCACGTTGTGTGCACACACCCATTATACGCACACACACATACACTAACACTCACTCGCATCACTCGTGGCTCTGATCTGACCTAACCACCAGGACTGAACTTGGATGGGCATCATCCCGGTCAGACTCCAGGGCTGCACCACAGCAGTGAGGAGCAAGTGATTAGAGCCAGAAGGGAGAAGAGCCTGGGGCCCCTCCCTCCACCTCCTGGATAAACCCACTGTAATCCCAGCACAAATACCCTACTCCCAACCACACATACAGCTTACCCCGACAAAGACGCTCAGGGTGCCCACCTCCCCACACTCCATGCTAAAGCTTTGGGCGTACAGAGACCCCTGAGCTCTGGATTAAGACTCACACGCTGATTTGCTTAACCTTCCCAGAAGCTCTATCCATGGATAAAACTCGATCATCTTCTAGACCAGTGGTTCTCAACCTTCTGGCTCTTTAAATACAGTTCCTCATGTTGTGACCCAACCATAAAATTATTTTCGTTGTTACTTCATAACTGTAATGTTGCTACTGTTATGAATCGTAATGTAAATATCTGATATGCAGGATGGTCTTAGGTGACCCCTGTGAAAGGGTTGTTCGACCTCCAAAGGGGTCGCGACCCACAGGTTGAGAACCTCTATTCTAGACCAACAATGTAGAAGACAGTGCAAGGGAAAGATAGAAAACAGAGAACAGTGAGAGTAGAGAGCAAGGGAAATGACTGATAAAATTAACATATGGATACGTGTACAATCAAGAGAAGTTTGCCCATCCATTCATTACATGTTTATGGAGCCCTGGGGTACAGCGAGAAATAGGAAGGCTTGTTCTTCCCCACACAGGCCAGCTGTTCATCAGAATCACCCAGAGAGCAGTTTAAAACTTTTCCTGGGTCCTCTCCTGAAACTCCTAAGAGGATCTCCTCAGTGGAGACCAGGAGTCTGTATTTTAAAATTTCTTTGTGAGACAGATACAACCTGTCTACAGACTGACATTTGGACATGGCAGATAATTAAACAATAGCAAAGGCCCATGCGGATTTTTATATGTAGGAGGTATACTGTGAGCTCTGAGAACTTAGAGGAGGGATTCTAGAGAAACACAAAGTAGAATAATGATGAGCCAGAAATTTAGGGCTGGAAAGAACCCTGGAGTTAATTTCATTCCGTCTTACAGATACTGCAACTGAGGCCGAGAAAGAAGACAAAACCAGAACTGAGGAAATGATAGCTAGCCATTAGCAGACGTAGGAATACACTATCTGTCCGTTGGTAAGTTGGTAAGGTCTATAGAGAAGTTTGACATGGATGGTGTATACACAGAAGATAAAATAAAATAGATGATAAAGAGATCATCAACCGTTGGATAAATAGGAGTATTGTTAGGAAAATTATCATGAACAGAAAATAGGAAATATAAATTAACCAGCTTTGTGAGGCAGCTTAATGAGAGCAGACATAAATAATGGCTAGATATAAAACAGCTATCTGTGAGGGACAGTTTAGGGAGCTCTGAGAGACAAATACAGATACTGACAGTAGAAAGAAATGGCAGGGGGCGGATGGGAGTGACTGATGCTTGACAAGTAGCTGATAGCTGGAAATGACAGGTAAGCTTGCCTGGCAAATACCGAAAGATGAATAGGTCATTAGTTAATGATATAACCCAGGTCCAAATGATGTTAGGAGAGGGACAGAAAGACAGCTCTGATGATAATGGAGACTGGATGTAGCAGAAAGAACACTGGACTGTCAGTCAGCCTAGACTTGAATCTTATTGTAATACTAACTTGATATGTCACTTTAAATAAAGGAAAAGGAAGGACTGGGAATGAGAATTAATATTATTTGAGTTAATATTAAGTGCCTTTAATTCTTAAACAACCTGTTTTCTGGAGGAGAGAACCAGAGTTCAGAGAGGTTGAGTACACTGCCCAAGGATCACCGTCAGCTAGCAGCCTGCCTGGGAGCTCTGCCCAGTCTCTCCGTCTCTGTCACCTGGAAACAGCCTCTGCAAGGAGGTTTCTCAGGCTCAAACCTCCTGTGGTTCTATTGTTAGTTTGTGTTCTGTATGCTAAAACCAGCTCACCTATATAGACGGAACAAGAATAGGCGTGAGTTTTGATAGTGACACTGTTTAAAATGTTTGTTTTAAATATGTTTGAACCATCTTACCGTAAAAATGAAAGAAACAATCATGTTTACTAACTGGCATTGTTAGGAGCAAATACTGACAGGCAGCTAGATTCAGTGTAAGAAAATTAATTAAAAGTGCTCTCACCAAGCTAAAAAATTGAAAGTTTAAAACAATGACATTATTTCAACAAGTGTTCATCTGTGGGTGGTGGGATTATAAATACTTCTGCAATTAAAATTTAATAACTAGTACTTTTCAAATGAAGTTAACTGTAAACACCATTCATAAATTGGCACCTTGTTTTAGACAAATTTACAATGCTGTTTGCCAGAAGGGAAAAGGGGGTATTATTTTTTAAGTGGGTTTTTAAACACATATCTTTTTTAAAAAACGTTTTTAGAATTAACTCCGTTGTTTTGTACACTTTATTTCTATGGTTAGAACAGCCCAGCTAGCAAATCATATATATATATTCTCCTTTAGCGGAGACAGGGGCATTGGAGCATCAGATAGGACCTTAGTAGATACCAAAATGCGACGTGAGGTCTGGAGGTCGGAGGCAGAGTTTGGACTCTCCCGCTAAGCCCCTCATTGCTCCCCAAGAGACCCCAAGCTGCCCCCCCCTCCCCCGCTACACCCCAGCCCAGCCCTGCGCCTTCTCCTAGTCATGGACTAAGGTGGAGGGTGATGGGGGTAGTGGAGGGTAGGGAGCGAGTAGTACAGGAAAGCGGAGCTGAGGATGAAAAGCTAGCCAGCTTGCAGACCTCTCTCATTTGCAAATCTGGGCATTGACAAGGGCGGAAGGGAGCGGGTCTTCAGAGCCCCTAGGACACTGAATCCTCCCCAGGGCAGCACCCGCCCCTCTAGCAAGACTACTTGGGCAGAGGGAAAGCTTAGGCCGTGCTTCCAGGCAGCATTCATATGGCCACGTCTTTTCTTACAGTAAACCAAATTTGCTTCCCTATAACTCTCATCTACTTCTTTCAAATTTAAAAAAAAATTATCCATGACAAAAATACGTGGTGATTGTAATTTCACCCCGTTCAACCCCAGCAACACCGCAGTATAGTCTCTCCCCAGCTCAACAGCCCTTCAGGCGACTGAAACCAGTCCCCAAACACCCAGAATCTCCTTTCCACATTCTCAGATGCCCTCGCATTTGCAAAGCCATCTCCACGGTTCCCTGCCAGCGTGCCTGTGAGGAGACAGGGCCGCCCTCCCACCCCAAGCACGGCTGGCGGCTCCCTAGCTTAGGCCCTGTCTCTGCTGTGTCTGCCCTGAGGACACGTGGGCTTTCTCCCCCCACCACATGCGTCAGCGGGCAGTCGAGGCCTCTACCAGGTCTGCCCGTGACCGGCAGCAAAGCCAGTGCGGGGAAGGCCTGGGCATCCCCCGGAGCGTGAGCGCCGGGAAGAGCGGCGGGAGAAGTGGGGCAGTGATCACAGCGCTGCGATGGCTCCGTGTCCACTGGTGCGCCCGGCAGTGACGGGTAACCCGGCCCCTCCTGCGGGCTTGGGAGCGGAGCGGCCCTGGTCTGAGGTCTGACCCCACTTCTAGTGAGTCCTTAGGGCTGGATTAAAATCCTTCCGGGCGCTCTAAAGACGGGCTTCGCGGGAGCGCCGCCGGGTGGCCTCCTGAACTGGGCAGGAGAGGGCTCCAGGGAAGGCCAGGGGAGGACTCGGGCCACGCCTGTACCCGCCCGCTCCCACCTCTATGGGGGCTCCCAGGTGAGCGCGGGCCGCCCACTTGGGGTGATTATTACCTGCGTCTCCGAGAGGCTGAGGCTGCCGGCCAGCTGCTTCCGCTCGGCGCCCACCACGTAGTGGTTCTTCTCGAAGGCGCGCTCCAGGCGCAGCAGCTGCGAGGGCGAGAAGGCCGTGCGGATCCTCTTGGGCTTGCGCGCGAAGGGGCCGTGCAGAAGCAGCCCGTCCTGGGGCACGTCGCTCGCTGCCCGCGCCGCCGAGGCAACACACGCGGGTACAGACAGAGAGAAGGGGCGCCGTGAGCCTCTGCGGGCATCCCCGGCCCGCACGCTTACTCCCTTGAGAACTCCGAAACCCTCTCCAACCCATGGCCCCTTTTTTCTTCCCTCTCCCTTTGCCTCCCCTTCCTTAAGTCCACTCTCCTCCCCAACACCTTCACACTCCCAAAGGTACCCTGTTGGGAGCCACGCAGAAATGCGGAGCTGCTGATGGGCCAAGGGTGGGCCCCAGCCTGGGGAGGCGCCTATGGGCCCAAATCCATAGGGCCTGCAGCAACCCAAGAGGCCGAGACAGAGAAAAGTCCCTTAGTTCTGTTCATCTGCTCCACCCATCATATTTCACTCAAAGTGGATCAAGAGGAGAAAAGGGGCTGGTTGTCAGAAAGGTGATAAGGGGGACAGTGAAGCTATTAGGCATCCCCAAGCCAAACACAGATTCAAGAACTAGAAGAATCCCAAGGAACTCTCCCCTCACTTAAACCAGCCTTGCTCAGGCCACTGGCCCTTTGAAAATGCCTACCACTGGCCCAGGCTCTCCCCTGCAAGTGGTAAAAATAGGCCAGCGGTTAGGTCAATGGCCGGGCAGCACCTGCAGGTCTAAGGTCAGGTTCTTCTACCCTTCCCCACCTCTCTCCCTTTCCCCTCAGGTAAAACCCTCTCCCACAGGAGGCTCTCGCTGCTCCCTGGTGGGAAAGACCTTGCTTCATCCCTGAATAGTCCCGTGCTAAAGAAGCATGTTTATAAATATCTTGATATTATCTTTCTCTCTAATATATATAGATATAGGTATATAGGTTTCTGCATGGGCGTGTGTAAATACATGCTCCAGCCTCCCTACTGCCTTTTCCTCCTATCTCCCATACAGGGTTTTCAAAGAGTGTGACTGTCCCTTGCAAATATTGGCCACCATGGAAACTCAGCCCCCAGATGCAGGAGGAGGGGATGACATTGGACTGGATGAGGCTGGGGTGGTGGGGTCAGGAACTACAAAAGCTAAGCACAGGCGGTCCCAGTCTCCATGAACTCCCACCCCACCCCCACAAGGCCCCCTCAGGCTCCGTGGCACAGGCTAACAAACTCGAAAGGGTCCTGAAATCCCCCGTGGATTCTCATGCAGTGGCATGTAACAGTCCCCCCTGACCCCACCAATAATGTACAGCCCTAGATAGAATGTTTCGACAGAGTTAGCTGATCCAATGAATTTCTTCAGAAATGGCCTTTGGTTTGACTCAATTTGACCTGTTGTTTTGTTCTTAAGACAGTTGTTTAGATTATTCCGTTAAGATCTCCCATCTCTGGAAATATGGCTGTAAGTGAAGCAAGGCATGTAATTGAGGTGATGTTGCTACAACTCTCCAGGTTCATGTCCCTCTGCTGGTGGAAACTGCCTGACATTACTTTCTACAAGTCCCTGGCTTCAGACACTAACACAAGCAAACAGGGTTGCCTAGGAATGAGGGGCTAGTAGTGCCTGGGGGGAGACAAAGTCCCCTGACTGGGAGAAGTCACTAATTTCCAGTCACCTTCTCTATTTCAAGTGGTTGGACCTGTGCTGCTACAATAGGGAGGGGGAATCATAGACTAGGAAGATAGAGGGAGGGACACCCTGACCATTGGGCCCTTCAAAACGGGCAGGCCCCGGACTCTCGGGCCCGATTGAAAGAAGAGTTGAACTTGTGGTAGTGGAGGGGACAGATGACCAGAGAGGTGGTCTGACAGAACGGGGTAAGAGGGAGAGAAAGGAGGAGCTTGATCCAGGTAGGAATAAGGATTTCAGTCTCAAGTGTGGGCAAGAGAACGGTGGGAGAGATAGGTGGGAAGCAGATATCTCTTGTCAATGTTAAAATAAACTGCTTCAGGAAACACCTCATTCTGAGCCCAGGTGAAGTCCCAACAGGGTGTTCTCTGGACAAATGAGCCAGGCAGGAAGCAAGAAAGCCTGCCTCACGCCAGCATTTGCACGGTTTGGCTCCAGCCGCTGGACTGGCCCAGGCTAGTCAGAGGTGAGGTGGCAGCAGAGGGACCCCGTAGGTGGGAGTGAATGGGCCGCAGGTGTGTGAAGGGCCATACGGAGCAGAGGACACAGGACACAGGACTGTGGTCTGGCCTCAGTGTGTGTGACTTGATGGCTCTTTTATAATGTGGTTTGTGTCTGCCCGACCCTTGGGACAGGGGGTACGGTATGGTCTGTCTCCCCCCCCCCCCCCAGTAATTCTGGGCTGTGAGAGTGGGCTGTCAGTTTCAGACAAGGACAGTAGATTAAAAAGGGGCTGGCTTAGCCTTCCCTGGAGCTAGCAACTGACCCCCACCCAACCCAGCTTTCCTCCAGCCTCTCTCTGTGGTCCACTTCAAGGCACCGGCTACGAACTAGCAATAGAGACTCCCAAGAGCGAGGCAACTGGAGGTGGGAGCTAGCGGTGGGAAGGGCCCAGGGCTGGAGCTGCGGTCTCTTCAGCAAAGACGGCGGCCGGCCAGGGGCTCTAGACCTGATGGCGGGGCTCAGGGACCTGGGGCTACAAGAGGGAGAGGCTAGCCACGCCGCGGAGATAACCTCATCCCCCTCCTGCCGGAACAAAGGCGCCCTTTGAAGCGCCGGCCCATTACCGACGCGGGTCCTAGAGGGTAGGGTCTCCCACTGCCCGCTCCGGACGCTGCTCCCTGGCTTGGAAAGTTTCAGATGTCCGGGGACATAACACCGAAGGGCAGCCAACGCCTGGTCTCCCCGTCACCTCCCTCCAGGCCTCGAAAGCCGCCCCCTGCTTCTGGATCCCGCCGCCCAGTTCGGACCATCCCGCGCCGGCTTCTCCTCTTCCACCGCCTCGCTCAGCGGAGAAGCCGCTTCCCTGCGCACCGGGTCGGGGCTGCCGGAAAGCCCAGCGAACCACAGCGCAGTCGCTCCTGTTCGTTCCTGTAGGGTTTCGCTTCTAGCACTAAAACTGGGCTGAAATGAGCATCCCAGAGACCGGGTTCTCTAGAAAACGCGGCGCCGGGAGCCCCGGGCCGGCTCTGCTTGCTGCGCGGAGGCCCCACTGGGACCGCAGGGCGCGTGGCCACCGGGGCGCGCACCGGTCTGGGGGTCCGGCGCGACGCTGACCCGCCCCGAAACCAAAACCAAACGTCTCGGGGTTCTATAGTCCTTCACTGGCCAACGAATTTCCGCGTTTAAAAGTGCGCTCACACTCGGCTCCATCTCCGCATCCAGACACGGTTCTAGGGAGAAAAATCCAACCGTTTTTGCAACTCGACAACGTGCCCGCCGGGGCTGATAGCTCGAGGAGCGGCGGCAGTTCCCTAAAGGGTTTTGCGGAGGATTTATCGGGCCTCGCCTGACTGGGGATGCTCAGAGCCGGAGCTGGATCTCTAGGGAGGCACCTCGGCCCTGGGCGCCCGAGCCCGCGCAGGCGAGGCTGGAGGCGAAAACGATGGCTGGGAGGACATGGGGCGCGTGGGTCCGAAGCCGAGGGCGCAGCGGGCGAGGCCTTCTCCCGCTGAGCAGAGATCACAGGGCTTAGGACCGGCTGCGCCCTCTCGCCTGGGCCGCTGTACCCTCCACCAGTCCCTCTGCAGAGCTGGTGCAAAGGTTCACAAACACGCGCGACTCTCACATCGGTCCGCGGGCACAGGGCTTCAAGACTCAGGCCAGGAACCAAGCCCATGGAGGACCAAGGGAGTTTGCTCAATTTTGAACAAAACTCAATTTTATCAGTAAACATTGATTTTAATTGACAGGTTTCCCGCCCAAATCGCCCTCCCCCCACACTACACACACTGGATGAGTTGGACAAGTCTTCGAAATCCCCAGGGGAGATGTGTGCCCACAAAAATTCTTGTTTCAGTAATTACACTCTCTTATTTTGTGGGAATCTATTGGGTCAATGTCTACCAGCCAGAAGGGATTGAGAAAACAGTCTGGCAGATCGGGACCCGGGACAGCGGCTTCCCGTGAAACAAGCGGCTATAGCTAACGCTTCAAGAGATCATTTCTCTCCTATTAGCTAGATAACTGTACCAAACATCCAGTTTACTTTGACTGTGTAGACGGGTTTACCGCCAGATTAACTCCGGGAGCCTTAGCTCTAGCTATGCCCTTTTCATTTGTTTCACTAAAAGCCGGGTTACCTAGCTCTGGGCCATGGAACCTCACAAGGCTGAGGTCTAGTCTACACTAACAAATAAAGCCGGAAACTAAAGCAATTACTGCACAAATTAAGGCTACAGAAGAAGAAGAAGAAGAAGAAGAAGAAGAAGAAGAAGAAGAAGAAGAAGAAGAAGAAGAAAGAAAAAGAAGAAGAAAAGGAAAAAAACTCCAACAAATTCAAGGAAGAAAACGAACTCCAACAAATGCAGTTCTCCTTGGGAAAAGTCAGATAATTGAAACATGTGTGTGTGTGTGTGTGTGTGTGTGGCCAGTGGGTGAATCTTCATTAGCAAACCCATTGCCCGTAGAAGACCAGGGGGCTCGGACTGCCCACAACCTTACCAGCTTTTTGCCCCCACTCCCTGCCTGGGAGGACCACCAGTCCCCCCCCCCCACTCCCCCCAGCAGCCTGGGGGGCTCCCAGAGTAGGCAAACGGCGAGAAAGCGGGTGTGCTATCGCAAACCTTCCTCACTCTGGGTCCAAGAGGCGCGTGTGACTTGGAGAAGTCGGGCAGAGGTTGCTGAGAAACATCGCAAGGCGGCAGAGAATGCCATACTGAACATTAACTCTCCAGTTTGCCCTGCCCGCGGTCCCTTCTTCCCAAAGACCCGAGGCACGCGGGTGGACCTTGCCCTGCTCGGACGGGCCAGCTGGGGCGGATCCTTGGGAATCGGTGATGGACATGACTGCCGAGTACGGTCCCAGATCCAGCCGGGGCGGAGGTAGGGCGGCGGACACTGAGCTCTCCGGGCTGGGACTGGCTCGGCCAGGAGAGATTAAGACAGGCCGCCGGGAGAGGCTCCAAAGATGCTCCCGGGTTTGGCGTCCAGTCGGCATCATAACTAGGAAAGCCTGGACATCCTAACCTGGTTCTCCGGGAGGGAACCCAAGGCGGCAGAAGCGTGATGGGTCTGACGCGGCTCTTCTCTTGGCTTGGGAGTCGGCCTCCGAGGACCCGCAGCCTTCTCCAAACAACTTCCGAATAGCCCCGCGCACCCCCGAGCCTTCCCCCGCGCCACCACAGCGCGGGCGCTGGCCGGCCGCTTAGGCGGGCACAGCGTGGGCACTCACCCTGGAAGCGGTGGCCGAAGAAGCGGTTCCGCAGAACCCAGGGGTAGAAGTGCAGAGGGTCCCGGTGCTGGCGCCGAAGAAGGAGTGCGGGGGCTGCAGCGGGAGCGCCCAGCTGGTGCGCCTGGTGCACGGTCAGCGCCGG